TGGAGCCCAACCAACGCCCCACTGCAAATTGTAGATAGACATAAGCTCACTCTTTTTCAAAAGCTTACAACTTTGAGATTATACAACCGCTGGTATTCCTGCATGGCTCACGCTCCGGCTGGCAACCCACTAACACTTTCCAACTGCCTGACAAGTTATGGCTGACAAGCGCCACATAGTGCACAGGGCGCTCACAAGCGAAGTCTGTTTACTGTTTTAGTCACAGAGTTGAAATCAGGCTAAAATTGCATATAATTAGAAAGTGCAACCGATGTTGATTGCTGCAAGAGTCAAGCGCCAGTTTTAAAACGACTAGAAGACGAAGGATTGGTTGAAGTTATGGGAAGAAAAAGAAAACTAGGAAGGAGAAGGGTGAACAAAAATGAGAAGGATTAGCAGCGCCTTCGAACAGGACTTGCATGGGCGATGAAGGATGAAGGAAATTATGCCAAACAGCTGAAGGGTTTAGCTGTTAGTAGCATTAGTTGAGAGCGAAGCTACAGCGAGTGCCTAAAAGTGAAGGCTTTGACTTGGAGTGTGAGGAGGGGAAGTGAGAAGGGAAAGGATGTCATGTGAATAGTGAGGAAAAGAAGTGAGAAGGAAAAGAGTACCCTGTGAATAGTGAGGAGGAGTAGTGAACAGAGAAGTAGTGCCAGATGTGGAGTGATGAAGCCACATATATGGTAGATAAGCATGATATCAATTTTTGAAATTAATTCTTGCACTTAAACTTTTTTAATTATATCTCTAATGTTATTTTAATTTCTATCTTGCACGTTAATCTAAAGAAAATACTGGAAATATGCGTAGCAAGACATATTACTTGTCACTCATACGCACTGTGTACCCAATTTATTTCAATTAACTTGCTCTACTTAGAATAATATGAAGCCAGTGAGTGAAAATTAAACACAAATATGCAAAATTTAGCATGAGCCGAAAAGCATTAATTCACTAATTTAACTTAGTTTTCGGGTAGTAATTATAATTTTGCATGAAATTGTAAACTTTACCGAAATTGAACTGCTGTTCAACAATTTCAAATATTCGCATTTCGCTAATCACTTTTAATTGGTGTTTATTTGCGGGTTTGTGTTAATTTGGGCACGTCACTCGGTAGGCAACTACCTGTTGCGCTGAAGTGCCGTAAAATATGCAAGAAATCCGTCGATTAAAATCAAATAATTGAAAGTGAAAATTTTGAATATTTTAATGTGCGTGAAATTCAATGGCACCAATTAACTAAAGAGTGTGAGCGTGTTGCATTTAGGTTTGCTATATGCGAATATTAGATTTTCGAGCAACTAAACCAAGTACTAGGGCGGGTTGAATCATTATATTTGGCATATGTGGACTACAGGAAGATGAGCAGCGATTATACTGAGTGGTAGAAAAAGTCTTTTCGTATTTTCTCTTGTGCTACCAATCACATTGTGTCATACCATATAGTGTTGGGAAGGTGAGATTTTAAGCTTCATTTATCGAAAAAATAAATAAATTCGGGGAAGTTAAAAAAGTTACAGCTGATCAAAAATTAGTGAAAATAATGAAGAAATTCGCAATATTTTGAGAATTTTGTATAAAAAAGCGCAGAATACCACGCAAGCCACCAATGAAATTTATGAAGTTTACGGGGACGATGCTGTATCAGTCCGTGTAGCACAACAATGGTTCGTTCGGCTCCATTCCGGAAATTTTCACGTGAAAGATACACCTTGCTCTGGTCAACGTATCGGCTGATCAGGTTGATCAGCACTGTCACATAAGCACCCATGACATCGCTAAGCAACTTAACATTCATCTTCATACGGTCTTGAAGCAACTCAAAAAGGCTGGCTACAAAAAGAAGCTCGATGTTTGGGTACCACAGGAATTCTCTGTGAAAAATTTAATGGACCGTATTAACATTTGCGATTCGTTGCTGAAACGAAATGAAATCGAACCATTTCCGAAACGAACGGTAACAGGAGACGAAAAGTGGTGTATACGAATACGAATATAATGTGCGAAAAAGATATTGGTCCAAGTGTGGTGAAGCTCAACAAATGGTCGCAAAGCCAGTATTGACGTCTCGCAAGGTTATGCTGAGTGTTAGGTGGATTTGAAAGGAATTATACAGTATGAAGTACTACAGCCTGGCCGAACGATTGATTCTACATTTTACTGTCAACAACTGACGAGGTTGAAGCAAGCAATCGAAAAAAACGGCCAGAACTGTTTAGCAGAAAGAGCTTCGTTTTAAATCAGGACAATGCTAGACCACACACATTTTTGATGATGACTCGGCAAAAACTGGAAGAGCTTGGCTGGGAAGTTTTGATGCATCCACCATATAGCCCTGACTTTGCGGTACCACACCGATAGTAAAATATTTGAACGTTATGAAATGAGGGCATACTGTGTTGTGCCTTTAATTTTTATATTTTAAGATGCGTAGCCTAAGATGAAGATAGATTTAGGAGATATTAACATTAAACTGCTCAGAAGGCTGGCTCACGCGCTCTTTTTTAAAAATATGCTGAACTCAACTGAACTCAACCTTTTCCAAGTTCACTATAATTTAAACAAAAAAAAAAAAAAATTATTGAAAATTCTCTTAAAACTCTTCGGGAAAAGCTGGAATGAATAACGGTGCTGAGTTTCGTAGAAATAAGAGCAAGTTTCCGTTTGGTGGAGTTGAGATTCTATAAAGATATGTTTGAAAGCTTGAAACTTCGATAAAACTAAAAAACTATGTTTAAGAATTTATAGGAAAATGCTTAGATAAATTCGAAATCGCCAAAACATGACTTTCACCAAATTTAATATTCAAAAGGAAGTGCAAAGTAAAAAGTTATATCCGCAAACAAGCCAAAACACTCACAAGTACACAATTGAAAGCGACGCCACAAAAATGAAAATCTCTGTCTTTCACTTTCAATGCCAAATCTGTGAATGCATCGCCGAGCTGCACACACAAAGCGGCATGAGGCCGTACAAGCGGTGGGGTAGCGGGGAGAGAAGGCGCAGATTAATCATAACAAAGCGCTGTTGACGATTTTGTCACTCATTCCATTCCTTTGCTGCAATTAAAAAGAAATTACGAAGCCAAAAAAGTTTTCACTTTTCTGTGTCAACAACTATCTTGGCGCAGCGCGTACGCATACAAACACACATATTCGCGCTCGTGTTTACACGTATTTACATACGTGCCTGCGCGCCCACGCGCTGCCGCAGCCGCCGACGCAGGCTTGGGCCACACTCGTCATACGAAGTGCTGGCGCACAGTCGCTGGGCATAATTTCGGCGCGGCAATTTTCAGCGCCACACACACGCGTGCACGCAACGGGTTTTCAATTCTCAAACACCAAACACTCAATTCAAATTTCACTTTGCTTGCTGCGGCTGCCAGCTTTCATTTTACTTGGCTTCTTTTTAATTTTTGTGCAAACTTTTTGGGCTTTTACTCGCTCGCTGCCTTTACGTCGCATCATTTCGCGCGGCTTGGAAAACACAGCGAATTTATGTGTTGGCCAAGTTCTGCTGACACACAGTGCCGCTAAGCGTCTGCGCGGCTGCCAAAAGCTTGGCGGCGAACGGCAACGTGCTTGCGTTGCTCCAAATCCTAGCGAGTTTATTTCACTTTTTGTGCATGCTTAATAGTGTGTACAATGCTTTGGCTGGCGCGTACGCCTAAAAGTATGCCTCTCTTTGTGGTTAAGGCGTGCCAAGTAAGTTGATGCGCGTGCTAAGTGAAATGAAAATTATTTTGAGGCGCCGAGAGGATGATAAGACATTCCAGTGAAATAGAATCTACAACAAAGTCTAAGAAAAAGCCCACATTTTCTTAGGAATTCGAGCAGACATGTCTTCTTTCGAAAGGTTTCCAAAAATTCTTAGGCAGCCAAGCTTTACGATATGTTAGTATATATGCTGCTCTAGAAGTTATTGAAAAAGCGAAGAAACCCATCTAACTGTACTAACTGAAAATTATTCGAGAAAAATGTTAAGGAATAATGGTATCTATGAAACCATAGAAATAAAAACAATTTTTTGTTCAGTGGAGTTGAGGGTTCCATAAAGATATGTCATAAAACTGCTACAAAGCTTGACAATTCGAAGTGAAGACTAACCGGTTCGGTACCGCAATATTGTAAAGAAATTGAAGAGAAACGGTAAACTCAAACGCGCACTTATGTCAAAGGTTTAAAAAATGAAAGAAATTGAAGTCAGGCGCAATCACGCCTAGCACACATACACTGCTAGGCCAACTGATGGAGAGAAAATAGTCGACTTCAAGTTGTGGATAGAAGATCACAAGCGAGGAATGAAATGACTTGAATTAAACGAGCGAAATATCTAAGGGAAACCCAAACTACTTTGTCTGAAATTGCAGCCTCATCACATGCGTGCAAGCACTATCTGAACTTTACTGTATACAACTTCTGTGCGGTCTACACCGAAAGTAATATAATTCTTTTGTAACTTTTCGCACTTCAAAGCCGTCACATTTATGAGTCTATCTGTGGGAATTCAGGCAATGAAATTTGCAAGAACGCCAGGCTACTGTCTTGTCTCACCCAAGACATTTTGCGCATGCAATTCGGGTCATGTGCACGCGTTGTGTGTATGTCTCTTATGACCTTGGATTTAAGAAAAAAATTGCAGAAAAAGCACGTTTAAGCAACAAAGTGAGAAAAATTAAAACAGAAATAAATTCCAGATCTAAAAAACTAGGCCAAAAGTGCGCAGCAGCCGCAAAATAGAAGGAAAATCCATTTTTGAATTTTTTCTTTGACGCGACGCAGAAAAGTATGCAACGTTGAAGTCGTAACCAGGAACTAACGCAATTCGACTCGCAAGCCAAAGAGCACTTTCTTCCAAAAGTCTATTAGAAGCACGCACATGCAATCACTCAAGCAACATGATACATACTTTGTTGCCATGTTCATTTGTATACTGCACACATACACACATACTTATAAGAAAACAAAGGCGTGAGTAAATACAAACGTACATACCTGTGTGAGCGTCGACGAAAGTGCGAAAGTCAGCGCGTTCACAGAAATCGAATTTTTGTTTGAATGCGTTTGTGCATGCGTGTCTTTTACTTCACATTCGCTGCACTCCCTTCACATGCAACACACATTGCGTTTTCGTCCGCTTCGCCAGTCGCTTTGAGCGCACGCTGTCAATTTCGCACCGAACTTTATCTGCCTGAGTAGGAGAAATTCGACACAGAGATGGACGTGAAGCTAACAGAAAGATAAACAAAGAAAAAATAACAATGACAAAATGAAAAATAGGCAAAAGTAAAATAAAAAGTACTGCAATTATGAGAAAAAAGGAAAATTACAACAAAACAACTGAAATGAATTTCAAGCTCAAAACAAAACCCAGAAAGAAAAATGAAAGCAAACAAATTTTAAATATCGCTGATTACACAAAAACAGCAACTGGAATAAAAATGAAATAAAATAAAACCGGAAATGAAGTGTCAACTTGTTACAATTAACTTTGACAAGTTCGCCACTTCCGACAGCCACGGCCGGGTTATGAGTGCCATCAATTTGCGACGATTATTTATAGTTTTTTTTCCATGTGTTTGCTCAATTCATTTGCTGACACTGAAAATAAAACACTTGTCTGACAAGCTAAAATTTATTTTTAGATTTTTTCTTTTCCTTTCCTGTGCTAAAAATAACGAAGCTTATAATGGTGAGTTTAGTAATGTTTAACTTATTGAAAGTAAAAAACATAATTCAAAACTAACAAAAAGTTAAAAAAAAAGTAGTTAATTAATACGTTAATAGAAAGTCAGCTAAAAATAAATGCTTTTCTAAATGTTTTTTACAATTTTATTAGTTGTTTAATTAATGAATTACTGAAATATTAAAAATAATTAATATTTATGGAAAATTAAGTTTGTCAGAATATTAATTACTTCTGCATAAGTAAAAAATATATAAAATATTTAATTTTAATTTGCCTTCAAAATAATTCATACCATAAATTATGATAATAATTATGAAAAATTAGTTTGATAGCAAATTAATTAATTTTAATTTCCCTTATTATTTGAATTAAAATTTATTTGTTTTCTACGTTTTTATATTTTGAGCTTTAGCGAAATTTGGGAAAGTAAATTTTGTATGTCCGCCGCCATTAGGTCAGACGCAACTGTACTTATGTTAATATTTTGCTAACGAATTGGACCAAATTTTGTATCTAAACCGTCCTCGAATCGCTTTGAACACACACAAAAAATTTCATCAAAATCAGTCCAGTCGTTTAAGAGGAGTTTAGTGACATACGCATGAACAAAAGAAATATAGTATATATAAGATATACATATATGGTATATAGTTTCTTTTAATTTGGTATTAAAAATAAAAAAATTTCATTTTTCTATGGTTTTAAAAAATTTTTTAACTCACCTGAAAAATTTTTGATTACAATTTTCCATTTTCGCGAAACTTGTGTAAAACAATATTATTTTTTATTGATTTGAAAACTTTTAGTTTTATTTAAGATTTCGTACTTCTGTTGTCTAAATTTACGTTACTATTTAACTTAATTAAATTGTTTTTTCATTTGACATTTTTAGGTTTATTTTTTCATATTTTTTTTAATTACTTTTACCTATTTACTACGCTCCTTGTTATCGTATGTGTTATTTAAACCTACTGAGTTCACATAAAATGCATTGAATTCCATTTTAGCAGCAATTTTTCTGCTGATTTTAATTTAATTAACAATATTTTTATATTTTTTCTTTGTTTTTTGAGTTTATGATTACTATTTTAAGTTTTTGGTATTCGTTTTTTTAGTTAACTAGTTATATAATTTACAAATTTACTGCTAATGTACATACATATAATTTTTGCCTAACAATACTTACAGCTAATTTGAGTTAAGTTAAACTGGTTTTTTGGTACTAAAAACTAATTAATATCTCATTTAATGTTTAAGTAATTTAATTAGCCTAGTAAAATATTTGGTCTCCTATTTCAAGTTTCCACAATTATTGTTGTTACTTTTGTCTCAACAGTTTTCGTAAATACTTGATTTCCATACAAAAAACTCAAAATATTTATTTTTGTATTTGGTATTAACTTTATGATTTTTTTGAAAAAGTGAGTAATTTGTTAACTAATTTGTGATGTGTGCTATTTAAGATTTTTTAGAGTTTTTACTTTGAATAAAATTTTCGTTATTGCATTTTTCTTATGTAAAATTCAATATTCCGGAATTGTTGGAGAAAATATGCTATTATGCCAAAATGTGCATATAAAAGTATGCATAAATATAAGAAAAAGTTTTTTAAATATATTTAATTTAAAAAATGTATAGGAAAAAAATTTTAAAATCGCCAGTTTTTTTTAATATTTAAAATTACAAAATCTGATTTACTGCAACAAAAAGTACCAAAATTTCTTGTTCAAATTACTCAAAATAATTAATGAAAATAAATTAGATAAAAATAATTTTAAAAAATTAATATTAAGAAATACTTTAAAATAAATATGAAAAAGTTCAATTGGACTTAGTAAAATAATTAATAAAAGTAAATAAGAAAAAAAATTGTTAGTAATAGTTTTTTGTGTAAATATTAAATATTAGTTGAAGTAAAAAAATTATGAGTAGCATAAAAAATAATACTTCAGTAAACAAAAATATTTTTTTTTTTGCCATCAAAATCTTTATACAAATAAAGTATAACGTAAAAATAAATATGAATTGATTAATAAACTAAGATAATAATAATTAAAATGTTTTTTTTTTTAAATAAATATAATAATAATAATATAAAAAATTGTTAAAAATAATTATAAAAAAATTCAAAAGGGCGTAGTAAATAGGAAATAAGCCATAAGTGCTACTAAAAGTTTTCAAGTGTTAAATATAATTGAGGAAAATTATAAACGTCAGGAAATATTACAAATACATATGCATATATTTAGTAGTCGGAAAACTTTTTTTCATATTGCTGCAACGACTTTTTTGCCAAAATACGAAAATACTTTTTCGACTACCGAATATATTGTAGCTGTAATGGACTAAACTAACTGAAAAAACATAAAACGCTCGAAAAGTTTACTGCATTACAAAACCAACTTTTGGGTTAGGCGTGGCGTATGAGTAACACAATTTTTCAAGTGATGTTAAATATACTCGAGGAAAATTATAAACGTCAGGAAATATTAAAAAAAAAATATATATAATATATGTATACGTATAAATTAAAGCTGTCATGCATTACAAAACAAACTGTAGGGTTAGGCGTGGCGTATGAGTAACACACTTTTCTAACTGGTATGACATGGCGTATGAGTAGCAGTGTTTCTAATTTTCATGCCGTTTGCAAGTTTAGTGAGTACATTTTCATTTATTTTTCAAGTGATTTAGTGATTATCTCTCAGCGTTAACACGCTTGCATTGTTTGTTATTGTTGCAAAAAATTGTGTATATTTAGTTTGATATTTGTTAAGCTTTTTCATGCAACTGTTAATGAAAATTGTGCATTATTTGCCGCTTTTCCACTATTTAGCACATTTTATTAGCTACTTATTAGTAATTAATTCTATTTTTTCTTGACTTTTTTCTATTAGCATTAACACACACATTGACTAGCAGTTTTTACATATTTTTTGTGAATACAAAATGTTGTTGTTGCTTTTGTTGTATGCTTATTTACAAAGTTCGCACCGCAATTGCTTTCACAAATGTTTTGCTATTTGCCCAAACACATTTATATAGTCGGTTATCGCTTATACCCGTTAATCACATTTAAGCTAAGTTTTGGTTGTTGTTCGATTTGTTTCCAATTACTCTTGCTATTAATTTAATTAATTTACACATTGTGCTCTCTAATGCAATTGCATGCAAATATTTAATTTTATTTCATATTTTTTCGCTCGATTCTTAAATTGAGCACTTGCCTAACCACTTGCAAATACATTAACATACGTACGCTATTGTTGCTATGTACACAGGTAGCTATTATATATAATACATAGACTGAGAAACATACGTTATTTGCTTGCATGAATTAAATTATTCAATTCTGGTTTAGATATTTTAATTAATTTATTTTAGTATGGAAATTTGCATAAAAATTTGCACAAACATACATATGTACATAATACCGCATACATACATACATACAGACGAAATGTATATGCGTTGCTGTGTGAGTGCTCAACCTCAACTATTATTTACATTTGCTTTCACGCATTTCAATTTCTACCGCAATTGCACACATACACACACATACAAATACAAAAAGAAAGTAAATTAACGCTTTGAGTGCCAAAACAAACAATTTTCAAGCACAAAACGCAAAAAATACGAACTCGCCGGCACTTCAAATGCAAACTTACGTTTTTCTGCTTTTCAAGCGACCGAATTCACACTTTAAGCGAAAAGTTTGAGTAAAAATAGAGTAATTAAGGCAGACGTAAGAGAAAAATTAAAAAACAAACTGAGACCGCTATTCATTGACAGGCTGAATGTGCATAAAAACATGCCAGTAAGAACACAGAAAAAATCCACGACAAAAGACGCGCAAAACAAAAGCGTCCACAACAAAAATGGGAAAAAAATAATAAAGTACCAAAAATAATGCTCTCCGCATGTGTTTGTATGTGTGTCCCGCGCCTTGCCACTACTGGCTGCCTTTGTTGACTTCATTTCGCGACATTTACAGGCGTAAGCATGGGTGTTTGGGCCAAAAAGTCTGTATGGTGAGTGTTAGCCAGGGCGTATGCGTAACCGAGTGTGTGCCTGGCGGCGCGACCACCGCGGTAGTGGCACACATAATTTCTCAGCTGTCGGCCATTTGTCGTCGCTGCCAAAGATGAATATGTGGGCGTGCTATCAATGTGTCTGTGTGTGTTCGCGGCTGTGCGGTTTATTTAGTGGCGAGTGTAAGCAAACGTGCCCCTGAACAAATATACTAACATACGTTATATGAGATTGCGGGTACTTTTCGAAAAAATAATTTTTTTTTATATAAATTTTTAGGTTCAAAACCAAAATTAAACCAGCTTTCATAATTAACAAAAATTATAAAAATAATTAAATGGGCTTAAAAAGGTTTGCTATTTTAAAACAGTTGTTATTTCCTGAAAACAAAAAAAATGTCGTACTTTTTTTTGGTAATATTATTATGAAAAATTTGTGGGAAAATTTCAATTATGGAGATAAAAATTGAGAATAAGCCTATTTATAAAAACCAGAATAATAATTTAAAGTAATTTAAATAATTTCAAAAAATGGAATTACTTAAAAAATGAAATTATTTAAATAATTTAAAAAAAAAATCTAAAATACATTTTTTTATGTCATGCTATTACGTAAAGTTTTTAAGAATACTAAAAATATATACGAAATAATTTTTTAAAATGAAAAAAAATATTCGAAATAATTTTTAAGAATATTTCTTTTCTAGTATAATTGATATAAATAAAAGGCACTTTTGCTTAAATGATACTGCTTATAATTCAACAACGTCTGAAGTTTCCAACCGCAGCAAAAAAAAATTAAAAACTGTGCTAACTTTACTGCCACATTTTATGCCTTCAACTGATCTGAATCTGCTCTTCGTAAGCGCCTGCTTTGCTTCGCATTACCAGCAAAAGCTCAGTTGGTTGTCATCATTTCTGCTTTCATATTTGCTGTCTGCAGCAGTGTATGAAAATGTACTCCATCCCACACAAGCGATCTGTATTTCGAGTAGTCACAACAGGAACAACAAAAATAGCACTAACAGTGATGGCAGCGACGCATCACATCACTTCACTTCGCACTTCACCTCCTTTGCACAACGAAAATAGCAAAGAAATTGGAGCACTTCTGGTTTGCAACCGCTCACACACACACACACACACACATGCAGTTAAATGCGTGTGCGCTTGCAAGTGGGCGACATGTCAACATTCGCCTGCGAAATTTCACCAGTTCAAGCATATTCCACACCGAGCCATACCGAGCCGAGGCGAGCCAAGCTGTAGTACATCATGTCGCATACGTAATCAACATGCGAGCTTACGTGTAATGGCGGTCTCCGATAGACGGTGAAGTGCTAGTTGCATGCAATTCACTTCAAACTCCTCGCCATGCCACACAGGAATGTATCTTTCCCGACACATGCACATATACGTGCACATATATAAGTGCATATGTGCATATGTGGTAGTTTAGTCAAGTTTCTGGCATTTTTCGCTTGTTTTTGCCCTCCCTTCTCTCCTTTTCTATTTTTAGTTTCTGTTTGCTGGCAGTTGTTAGTTTTGTTGTTGGAGCTACTGATGTCCTACTGTAGCTGAGCATATCGCCCAGCCACTTGGAATTCGCTGAGCACGATATTTGTGCCTTGAGTGGCAATGCAGCGACAGTGGGTCAAGCAGCGCACAGAAGTACACAAAAAAGTACAAAACAAACTTTTGACAAACAGAACTGAAGTTGTTTGTGAACAGTTTTCCAATTTATAAGTTATTTGTAAATTATTTGAAGTGAAAATGTAAAAATATAACCAGGAATTAAAAAATATTATAAAAATAATACCAAACAATTCTTTATATTTTATTAT